TCTGGTTATAGAAAGCAACACAAACCTGTCGGACATTTAGTGCCAGTGGGATGGTGATTGATTGGTCGTCTTGGCTTTTTTACTGCCCATCAGTTGCCCACCTGAACTTGGGCATTCAGTCATGGCTGTACATGTGCTCCGGCCATGATTCTGTGCTTTGTGGCCCCAGCAAAAATTAAACCGTATGTTACATTTGGCAGGCATTACCGTCACTGAACACAACCAATGCAAATCTATGGGGCCATGTCCCAATCACATGCAATGCATGCGGTTGTGCAGTAGCAAAGCATTTGCAGGGTTCAATCTGGCAGTGAAGAGGCAACAAAACACCTCCTCACTGCCTGCCAAATGGTGCATGTGTGAACGAGCTCTTGCGGTCACTGTAATTGCTGGCGGCTTGTGGTGTTGTAAATGGCGAGCACCATCATTCATAAAAACACAAGACACTAGCTATCCCTATGATGTTAGAAGATAAATTCCTGCCCCACAGAGTCAGTCCATGGATCTGCTGTGGGACTATCTGCACTGACTTTCTCCACTCAATTACCGTCCTGCAGACAAAGATGTCTGTCTCCAGGAGCCAGACCTATGGATGCGGCCACTAGGTCTGCAGACTTTGTACTGTGTACAGGCTCCTCCAGACAGACATCTGATTGAAAGAGCATCAGTCTACAAAATGAGGGGATGAGGGATCAGTGGTATGCTGTAGCCTCCACTACATGCCCATAAATTGGGCATCAGTCTGGGGTGGAGCTACAGCCAGCAGAAACATTTGGGTTTCTTTACTAAAGGCAAAGTGCAGTTGCTCCAGAGCTTAGTAAATGAGCAGAAGCTCTGCTGACTTCCATCATCCAATCATGTGCAAGCAAACATGCCGATTTTTTTTCTTTTCTTTCTTTACCCTGATTGGGTATTCTTTGCACAGAGAAGCTTTTGTTCATTTACTAAGCTTTGGAGCAATTGCTCTTGTAGGGTGCAACTGCACTTTGCAAAGTGCACAGTCCTGTCTGCCTTTAGTAAATCAACCCCATAGACAGTTTGTTTTCTCATACTATGTGGTCACAGATCAGGAGAGGACCCAGTGCTGCATGCATGGAATCTCATGGGCCCCGTGGGGATCTCCATAGTGAATTTAAAACTTAGTGATACCTCTTTAAAGATGACACAGAAGCTCCCTCTGAGCACTCCCTTTGTGATTTCAGCCATGCATTGGCATGCCCTGATCTGAGTCTTTGTGTCTATAAGAAGCAGTTACAGGAGCAAAGATTTTTGGTTATTCTGTCTGCCAACTAGCAACTGTGTCCGGAGTATTTGTCTGGTCTTGGCTAACTACACATATTAAAAACTAAAAAGAGTTTGCATTTATGTCTATCCAATCCTTAGAGTTATAAAGCTCTGCCACAGCACAGCCAGGCATGTAAACAATGGGGGCATTGTGTCGTTGCTGCCCTTCTATTTCAAGTGGAGGGGGGGAGAGAGGCTGGAGGCAGTATGGTTGGGCCAAAAGGAGCTGCTGGAGGCAGCATGGTTGGGTCTGGAGGATCTGCTGGAGCCAGGATGGTTGGGCCAAGAGGAGCTGCTGGAGGCAGGGAGGAGCGGCTGGAGGCGGGACGGATGGGCAGGGAGGAGAGGCTGGAGGCGGGACGGATGGGCAGGGAGCAGCGGCTGGAGGCAGGCAGGAGCGGCTGGAGGCAGGACGGATGGGCCTGGGAGGAGCGGCTGGAGGCAGGACGGATGGGCCTGGGAGGAGCGGCTGGAGACGGGACAGATGGGCCTGGGAGGAGCGGCTGGAGGCGGGACGGATGGGCCTGGGAGGAGCGGCTGGAGGCGGGACGGATGGGCCTGGGAGGAGCGGCTGGAGGCGGGACGGATGGGCCTGGGAGGAGCGGCTGGAGGCGGGACGGATGGGCCTGGGAGGAGCGGCTGGAGGCGGGACGGATGGGCCTGGGAGGAGCGGCTGGAGGCGGGACGGATGGGCTTGGAGGAGCGGCTGGAGGCGGGACGGATGGGCTTGGGAGGAGCGGCTGGAGGCGGGACGGATGGGCTTGGGAGGAGCGGCTGGAGGCGGGACGGATGGGCTTGGGAGGAGCGGCTGGAGGCGGGACGGATGGGCTTGGGAGGAGCGGCTGGAGGCGGGACGGATGGGCCTGGGAGGAGCGGTTGGCGGCGGGACGGATGGGTGTGAGGAACATCTTTCCACAGACTATGGAACATACAGACCTGTTACTCTCTTGCACAGTGTGGCTGTACAGTCAGCGGCATGACAGAAGACCTGAAATGACCACGCTGTCATGGATCGGCAGTCATGATTGTCGTGGTCAGTTTATTGTCAGAAAGAGAGGCCCAGGCAGGATTAACCAGGTTAACATTGCATTATTACAATAAAGAGACTGTACCATCTTTTTTTTTTTTTTTTTTTTTTTTTTTTTTACAATGTAACCAAAATTTTTTTTTTTTTTCTTTTTCTTTTTGGGAAACCATATTTTTTCCTACAAAAGAGCTGGTTATCTGGCCCATTGTCTATTTGTTTGTGTAATAATAACTCTGAGGTGTTCCACTCTCTGTACAGGACTGTTGCTGCCACCAACATGAATGAGACCAGCAGCCGATCCCACGCCGTCTTCACCATCGTCTTCACACAGAAGAGACACGATGAGATGACCAACCTGGACACTGAGAAGGTGAGTTGGGCCACAGCGGTCAAAATCGTGTCTCCTGTCAGTTACCCAGAATCCCTAGCAGCAGGCCTCGTTCACTTGGATGGTGGTAAAAACAGGCAATTGAGCCGTGTTTTTTACCACCCACCTAAAAAAAAAGAACATGCAGTGGCTCAGGGCTGCACATATGGTGCTGCAAAAATTGTATTCCCTGTCCAGCAGGCAGCACCTCTGCCAAAGGTGATCAGTTTAAGTGAATAGGGCTGCACCACAACCACCCTGCAACCATGTGTTAAACCAGGCGGTGAGTAGGCAACATATCACCTCCCAGCTGTTTCTCATCTGCCCTCTGAAAAGTGATCCACCGCAGCTCGCTAATTTCAGCAGCCTACTTGCCAGCATGCTGGATACGTGTGGGTACTTAAAGGATGGGTTCACTTTTGGGAACATGTTACATGGTCCCATAGCTGCAGCCGCCCCTCCTCCCTCTGACAGTGCAGGGAGAAGTTTCCCCATACTATCTGTCAGATTTGACAGCGCTGTGGTAGTTCATTGAGTCTTCTTGTCAGAATATCTGCTTCTCTGTACACCCCGTACATTCCATACACCCCGTACATTCCATACACACCGTACATTCCGTACATTCCGTACACTCCGTACCCCCCGTACACCCCGTACATTCCGCACACCCCGTACATTCCGCACACCCCGTACATTCCGCACACCCCGTACATTCCGCACACCCCGTACATTCCGCACACCCCGTACATTCCGCACACCCCGTACATTCCGCACACCCCGTACATTCCGCACACCCCGTACATTCCGCACACCCCGTACATTCCGCACACCCCGTACATTCCGCACACCCCGTACATTCCGCACACCCCGTACATTCCGCACACCCCGTACATTCCGCACACCCCGTACATTCCGCACACCCCGTACATTCCGCACACCCCGTACATTCCGCACACCCCGTACATTCCGCACACCCCGTACATTCCGCACACCCCGTACATTCCGCACACCCCGTACATTCCGCACACCCCGTACATTCCGCACACCCCGTACATTCCGCACACCGCACCCCCGTACATTCCGCACACCCCGTACATTCCGCACACCCCGTACATTCCGCACACCCCGTACATTCCGCACACCCCGTACATTCCGCACACCCCGTACATTCCGCACACCCCGTACATTCCGCACACCCCGTACATTCCGCACACCCCGTACATTCCGCACACCCCGTACATTCCGCACACCCCGTACATTCCGCACACCCCGTACATTCCGCACACCCCGTACATTCCGCACACCCCGTACATTCCGCACACCCCGTACATTCCGCACACCCCTTACAGCCCGTACACCCCGTACACCCCTTACAGCCCGTACACCCCGTACACCTCTTACAGCCCGTACACCCCGTACACCTCTTACAGCCCGTACACCCCGTACACCTCTTACAGCCCGTACACCCCGTACACCTCTTACAGCCCGTACACCCCGTACACCTCTTACAGCCCGTACACCCCGTACACCTCTTACAGCCCGTACACCCCGTACACCTCTTACAGCCCGTACATCTCTTACAGCCCGTACACCCTGTACATCTCATACATCCTGTATTGCAAGCAGATATTCTGACAGGTCTGCAGGAGACCTGCATGGCATCAGCGATCTACTGATCGCCGGTGCAATGCTTTCCAGGCAAAAATAATAAATGCACTTTTTTTTTTTTTTCCTGCAAAAATATGTGCATTTTATTATTTTTGTCAAAAATGTGAACTCCTTTTAAGGAGAGCTGTGGCAGGGGAACCTGGAGTCCTAGATCTGTAAAAGGATTCTGCATTTTAACAATGTCTTTGTTTTTATTTATTTTGATGTGTAGGTCAGTAAGATCAGCCTGGTGGATTTAGCTGGCAGTGAGCGGGCCGATTCTTCGGGGGCAAAAGGAACCCGACTTAAAGTGAGCCCCATTTCTCTTTTTGAATTGGCTGTATTTAGATCCGGAGCCTTTGAAAAAAAATATGGCATTTGTTTTTCCAGGAAGGAGCCAACATCAACAAGTCGCTGACTACGTTGGGGAAGGTGATTTCTGCCTTGGCTGAAATGGTAAGACACTTGGACCCGGGTATTTCTGTGTTGTGGTTCTGGTGTATATTGACATTGTTATAGCTGTGGGACTGTGTGGCGTGGCTCCTTGTCATACTGGTGCCTGATCTGGTGGCCGTCATGTTGTGGCTGTTTGTCAGGTCTGGTATATGTGTTGTAGCTCTTGAGTAAGGTCTTGTGGCTGTATTGTCACACTCATGTCAAATCTGGTAGTTTTGTAGCTCTGAGTGGTCTGGTCTGGTGGTTGCTTCACATCTCTTGTGACTGGTATAGTGGCCAGAGTCAGGGCTCTAATGCTAGCTCTGGTGTTGAATGTTGTAGCAATGTCATTCTTTTGTTGGCTTTATACCATGTATTATATGGAGTGGCCATGTTGTGGCTCTTTGTATGAAGTGATGTAGCCTCATTGTACAACTCATACAGTGTGGGCTTGTCATACACACTGTGCTTGGACAGCGTGTTCTTGTCATTGTGCTTGAATGTTGTGGACTCGTCATACACTTTGGACTGTGTGGCTTCATCGTACATCTTGTGCTTGGATGGTATAGCCTGGTCACACATCTTGCTCTTGGGCGTTGTGGCCTTGATGTACACCTCGTCCTTGGGTGCTGTTGGCCTTGATGTGCACAGTGAGTTTGGGCGCTGTTGGCCTTGATGTGCGCCGTGATTTTGGGCGCTGTGGCTTCACGCCCCTTGAGTTTGGGCGCTGTGATGTTTGATTAGATTGAGATCTGGAGAAGATGGAGGTCAAGTCAACACCTCAAAATTGTTGTCGTGTTCCTCAAACCTTTTTTGAATTTATCAGACCAGGCCACTTTCTTCCATTGCTTTGTGGTCCAGGTCTGATGCTCTCATGCCCATTGTAGGCGCTTTTGGTCTGTACACCTGCTGTGTTCAATATGAGTGGTTCCCACCATACCTGCGCTGAGCCCCCAGATCGGTACACCAGCTGCACCTTGAGTTTGGGCGCTGTGACTTCACGCCCCTTGAGATTGGGCGCTGTGATGTTTGATTGGATTGAGATCTGGAGAAGTTGGAGGTCAACACCTCCAAAATTGTTGTGGTGTTTCTCAAATCATTTTTTAATTTATCAGTCCAGGCCACTTTCTTCCATTGCTTCATGGTCCGGTTCTGATGCTCTCATGCCCATTGTAAGCACTTTTGGTCTGTATGTGTGGTCTGCACACCTGCTGTGTTCAATATGAGTGGTTGCCGCCATCCCTGCTGAGCCCCCCCCCCCCAGATCTCTACACCCGCTGCACTGCACCCATTATAAGGGGCTCCCACCATCCCAGGGATTGATGCTGTTGTTCCAAGTGATAGGAGACCCACAGGTATTTCTTACATTCGTAGTTTGAATAAAAGGTTGTTTGTAATGTAGTGGCTGATTATCAAATCATTCTACATAGACTGTATTTCTATTAGCCTCTTTGACATGTTTCTCTCTCTAATGCTGCCCGTCATTAAAAGGAGACGCCTACTTTCCCATACTTGTAAGTACATTGTGCTCGGTACTTTGTGATGATGTCATAACATGAGGACTGTGAGATATGATCTGGTATTTCTTGTAATGTAAACAATTGTCACATTTTTCATCCAGCAATGCAAGAAGAAAAAGTCAGATTTTATCCCGTACCGGGACTCCGCTCTCACCTGGCTCTTGAAGGAAAACTTGGGTGAGTCACAGCTTTGGGTTGGAGACTTTCTCTTGAAATGAAGAGTTCGGTATTCAATTTTACAGGGTCATTGGATTATATCTACATTTAAATCCCTTTTCTGGGCGAATATTATGTTTAAATTGTTATCCGTGTCCTTTTTTTGTTTTCTCTTTGCATCCTGTCTAACCAACAGATAGAAACGGATAGGGAAATGGCTCTAATACATGTATAAATGGGTGTCGGGCAGAACCAAAAATAAAGGGAAATCCCTCCCCCTACACGGAAACAGAGGTACCAAATGTTTTAGTTGATTCATTTCCGCCACCTCTTGGTTGCCTAAGTAGGTACTAACACGGGGAGGTGGGACAGACTTCCGATCTCATGGTCACTGATATTGGCCGTCACAGTGGTCACATGATCTGGAACCTGTTCCCGGTGGATCCCGATCATAAACAAAGACAAGGAGCAGTCTGTGACAGCTTGGTCACTACACACTGCACAGAAACCTTGGCATGGATGCATATGTGCAGCATGTGGGCCTTTAACTCCCCCGGCGGTATTCCAGAGTGTAGCTCTGGGTAGTTTCAGCACCACAAGCGGTAACCCCCCCGAGCTACACTCAGGAATACACTGCAGCGTTGCTCCGGGATCTCTTCTGCACTTACCTTGTCCTGCGCTCCCGCGATGTCCCCCCTGCAGTGTCCCCGGCAATGTCCTCCGGCCGATGCCGGTATCCGTCTTCCGGGTTCCAACCCCTGCGACGTCGGGACGTACGGGGGAGGGAACTGGCGGGAAATGTAAAAAATTAAAAAAGTGACATTCACTAAATACACTAAAATCACATAGTATAACATTCCTGTATCAAACCATTTCACATACATTTTGTCCCGAGTGCTTTGTCCGGCCTGCCTGCAATTTTACTGTTCTTTTTGCCTGGAAACTGAGAAACGTCCATGGCGTCCAAAAAGCGTCCCTTTAGGTCAAAAGCGGTTTTAGACCGGCTAGAGAACAGCGATAGTAAATCAGAACCACTTGCAGAATTGAGTGATAATGATTGGTGGGGGAAATTCCTCATCAGACACTGAAAACGATTCTGCGACTGAGCTCAGCGATGTGCGAACTTGGCGCTCTATTTCACATTTCAGTGTTTTTGGTTTGATTATATTATTGAATTAAATTTATTATTATTTTATTTTTTATGATTATTTATTATGATTTATGATTTCGTGCTTCAATTTTATCCTCCCCGGGATGTTTACTAGACTCTTGTTCGGACAGATTTCAGTGAGTTATTCCTAAAAATTACAGGCCTACAATAAAAAAAATACATATTTCCATGCAGAAAAATGTACCGCTTTGAGCACAGAAATACTGACATAATCAGACTGCTAGGGAGGTTAGAGGAGTACCACCCCCTGCCAAGAAAAAATTCAAAGTCAGCAGCTACAAATACTGTAGCTGCTGACTTTTAATATTGGGGCACTTACCTGTCCAGGGATCCAGCGATGTCCTCACTCTCTGAGCCGATTCTTAAATCGGTTGTTGAGTGCTGGCGCCGCCATCTTGAGTAAGGGAAACTGGCAGTGAAGCTTTGAGGCTTCACAGCCGGTTTCCTACTGCCCAGTCCCCTGGGACCTGTGAAGTGTCCCAGAGGGCTGCGGAGGGGGCTGAACTTCCGGCTCCATTCGCTGTGGCTAACTGAGCCAGAGGTGGGAGCTAATACTTGTCAAAACCAGGTGCCCGCTCCCCCTCCAAAAGGTGCCAAATGTGGCAGCTGAGGAGGCAGATGAGCAGAGCTTCCACTTTTGGGTGGAACTGCGCTTTAAGGCCACCCGTACTGTTGCCACACATATACACGTTACATGGTTGGCAAAAAGTTAAAAAAAAACTTTAGGAAGAGTTTTAGCTGACGTTGTGCTTGTTCCTTTTTTTTTTTTTTTTTTTTTTTTAATTTACTACCACACTTTCACCTGCTTGCCAACTGCATTCAAAGTTGTTATTTCTGAACTTCAGGAATACATAAAGGAAAAAAATGATTGCAGCTAGCTCTGCATTCACTAATACAGCATTAAACTTACAGGGATTGAACACAAATATGGAAAGGTGGAAACACTCCATGATTTGCAGGTGTGAAAGTGACAACATGATTCACGTTGAAGCGGAAATGATGTAACATTCTTTGGCTTTCGCTGTGTGATGAGACACCTAGCGAACAGGTGGGAAGCCTCACTTTGGTCATTCACGGCGTGCGCTGCTAGTAATAAGGAGTGAGGTCAGAGATTTCTGAGCTTCAAATTGTTGGTGCCACTTACCTGGTGCCTCTGTGACTGAAGTTGCCAATTGCTGCGTCGTGAGGTGCAATATCAAAGGCTATGACGGCGTATACACACATATCAGTATCCAACGTCTGGAGAGCTGTTGGAGATGCTGAAATTCTCCGTTGTATTCTGCTCCACACACAGTATAAGATTTGATCTTCTGGGTGCTGCTCATCTTAAAAAGTGATGATAGGTGGGTCGCTCGCTCTGCCCCTCGTCCATTTAGAAAACATCCTTTATCATGTATTCTTTTCAATGAATACAAAGCGTTCTGTGATTGGATGAGGGTCCTGTCATGCAACCCCCTATCATCCCTGAAGAAGTCACAACAGCAGTGCCTGGAAGATCAGTGCTCACACTTTATAAAGCATTGGTCTCCAAACTTTCTAAGCAAAGGGAAAGTTTACTGTCCTTCAGATTTTAGGAAGGCTGGATTGTGACCAGTGGGAGTAGAAAATGCCTCAGACTTAGTGGTCAATGAAGCAAAAAAAAAAAAAATATTTACAGAATGCTTATGGACAGTAGGAGGTATTGGTTGGAAAAATAATCTGTATCGTTGGTGTCAGTGGGGGGAATGGTGCCCCATCCCTGGTGTCAGTGGGAGGAATGGTGCCCCATCCCTGGTGTCAGTGGGAGGAATAGTGCCCCATCCCTGGTGTCAGTGGGAGGAATAGTGCCCCATCCCTGGTGTCAGTGGGAGGAATAGTGCCCCATCATTGGTGTCAGTGGGAGGAATAGTGCCCCATCATTGGTATCAGTGGGAGGAATGGTGCCCTATCCCTGGTGTCAGTGGGAGGAATAGTGCCCCATCCCTGGTGTCAGTGGGAGGAATAGTGCCCCATCATTGGTGTCAGTGGGAGGAATAGTGCCCCATCATTGGTGTCAGTGGGAGGAATAGTGCCCCATCATTGGTATCAGTGGGAGGAATGGTGCCCCATCCCTGGTGTCAGTGGGAGGAATGGTGCCCCATCCCTGGTGTCAGTGGGAGGAATGGTGCCCCATCCCTGGTGTCTGTGGGAGGAATGGTGCCCCCCCCATCATTGGTATCAGTGTGAGGAATGGTGCCCCCCCATCATTGGTATCAGTGTGAGGAATGGTGCCCCCCCCATCATTGGTATCAGTGTGAGGAATGGTGCCCCCCCATCATTGGTATCAGTGGGAGGAATAGTGCCCCCCCCATCATTGGTATCAGTGGGAGGAATGGTGCCCCCCCATCATTGGTATCAGTGGGAGGAATGGTGCCCCCCCCATCATTGGTATCAGTGGGAGGAATAGTGCCCCCCCTCCCATCATTGGTATCAGTGGGAGGAATAGTGCCCCCCCCCCAGTCATTGGTATCAGTAGGAAGAATAGTGCCCCCCCCCAGTCATTGGTATCAGTAGGAAGAATAGTGCCCCCCCCCAGTCATTGGTATCAGTAGGAAGAATGGTGCCCCATCATTAGCATCAGTTGGAGAAATAGCACCATATCATTGTTATTAGTGGGAGGAATGTTGCCCCATCTATGGTGTCAGTAGTGCTCTACCTTTGTTGTCAGTGTAAGAAATTGTGCCCCCCGATTTTGTTGTCGGGAGGAATAGTGCTTTGTATCAGTGGGAGGAAAAATGCTCAAAGGGGTCACATCTCGCCTGACCCCTGGCATAAAGCATGGAATACAACTGAGAATTGTAGCATCCCCAGCAGCCCTCTGAACATTAGATACCAATTGTTAGAAATGTAATAAAGCTGGCTCAGTCTAAAACAGTTTTTTTTTTCTTTGGTATTTTTGTAAAAATAAATAAAGTTATTGTAGTGGGCTCAGTCAGCGGTTGAACCTTGACATCATCACCTACAATGCAGGACCAATAGTCCCACACTGCAGATGAGATCAACTAGGGCAGTCCACAACTCTGAGCACTGGGGAGAAGAGGGGAGCACCAAAATCCCAGACTTGTGAGCACTAGTAATGGAAGACATTTTCTTTTTTTAATCTCAGGAGGAAACTCCCGTACCGCCATGATCGCAGCACTGAGTCCAGCGGATATCAACTACGAGGAGACACTGAGTACCCTCCGGTGAGTGGTTGGTAGTTAAAGTGGTTGTAAAGTCACATCTATTAATTCATTTGATACTTTGTTTTAGATCCATGGTTAGTACAATGTGTGTGTTTTTATAATGCTACACACCTCTGTTTTCTTCCTCCATCGAGAGAGTTCAGTGGGAGGGGCTGAGATTCCTTTCTGATGTATGCTAGATGGCAGAGTGAGGTCACATGACTGAGCAGCACTGTGCAAATCAGGTATTTATTATTATAATTTTAAGAAAACTTTACAAGCACTGGAGTGGCTGCAGGGAATAGTATTATTCAAAGGAGGGGAGGGGCAGGGAGGAGATCGGCGTACACACAGACCACCAGAAATGACACGCAGAGGGATGGGGGAGATGTAGAGACATTAAAGAGAGAGCAAGATGATGGAGGCATGTAATCTGACCACCCGATCATGGATCAGTAGCCATGATTATCGTGGTCAGTACACATAGGGGAACAGAGAACAGGCAGGATCAACCAAGTATTGTACAACATGGAATGGGACAAAAGCACTTTGCAATATACAGTTGCAAGAAAAAGTATGTGAACCCCTTGGGATTACGTGGAGTTTTGCATGAATTGGGCATAAAATGTGCTCTGAACATCATCTAAGTCACAACAATAGAAGAACACAGTCTGCTGAACATAATACTACACAAACATTAGATGTTGCCATGGTTTAATTGCACATAACATGTAAACATTCACAGTGCAGGGAGGAAAAAGTATGTGAACCTTTGGACTTAATAACTGGTTGACCCTCCTTTGGCAGCAATAACCTCAACCAAACGTTTCCTGTAGTTGCAGATCAGACCTGCACAACGATCTGGAGTCACTTTGGACCACTCCTCTTCACAAAACTGTTTGTGTAGCAATATTCTTGGGATGTCTGGTGTGAATCGCTCTCTTAAGGTCATACCACAGCATTTCAATCGGGTTGAGGTCAGGACTCTGACTGGGCCACTCCAGAAGGCGTATTCTGTGCTGTTGCAGCCATTGTTTTGTTGAATTACTTGTATGCTTTGGGTCATTGTCCTGTTGCATCACCCATCCTCTGCGGAGCTTCAGTTGGCGGACAGATGGTCGTACGTTTTCCTGCAAAATGTCTTGAAAAAAATCTGGAATTCATTTTCCCATCAATGACAACAATCCGTCCAGGCCCTGAGGCAGCAAAGCAGCCCCAAACCATGATGCTCCCTCCGCCATGTTTCACAGTGGGGATGAGGTTTTGATGTTGGTGTGCTGTGCCTTTTTTTCTCCACACATAGTGTTGTGTGTTCTTCCCAGACAACTCAATCTTGGTGTCATCTGTCCACAGTATATTTTGCCAGTAGTGCTGTGGAACATCCAGGTGCTCTTTTGCAAACTTCAAACGTGCTGCAATATTCTTTTTGGACAGCAATGGCTTCCTCCGTGGTGTCCTCCCATGTACTCCATTCTTGTTTAATGTTTTCCTTATTGTAGATGTGTCAACAAAAATGTTAGCATGTGCCAGAGATTTCTGTAGGTCTTTAGCTGACACTCTGGGATTCTTCTTTACCTCATGCAGCATTCTGCGCTGTGCTCTTGCAGTCGTTTTTACAGGACGACCACGCCTAGGGAGAGTAGCAACAGTGCTAAACTTTCTCCATTTGTAAAGTAGACAGTCTGTCTTACCATGGACACATGAACATCAAGGCTTTTGGAGATACTTTTGTAACCCTTTCCAGCTTCATGCAAGTCAACAATTCTTGATCGTAGGTCTTCTGAGAGCTCTTTTCTGCGAGGCATGGTTCACATCAGACAGTGCTTCTTGAAGCCAGTAAACCCAAAACAGGTGTGTGTTTTTTAAGGGCAGGACAGCTGTCAGCAACACATCCAATATCATCACACTGATTGGAGTCAAGGTTGGCTCACTCCTGGCTCCAATTAGCTCTGGGAGAAGTCATTAAGCTAGGGCCTCACATACTTTTTCCTCCCTGCACTGTGAATGTTTACATGTTATGTGCAATTAAACCATGGCAACCTCTAATGTTTGTGTAGTATTATGTTCAGCAGACTGTGTTCTTCTATTGTGACTTAGATGACGTTCAAAGCACATTTTATGCCCAATTCATGCAAAACTCCACGTAATCCCAAGGGGTTCACATACTTTTTCTTGCAACTGTATCATGCCTTAAAGGGACATGAGCTTTTTTTTTTAGTTTAGGGGCACAACCACTTTAACAGTCAGAGCCTCTGATGCCTTTAGGCTTCTTGCATTACTCCCTTACTATCACTTGTTCTGCACTGTGTATAGGCAGCCATCTTGGTAGAGTACCAGGGCTTTTATCGCCCTGGTCGAACCTGGATGACTGGTGTTCACTGATTAACTTCTGTTGAATATTTAAGAAAAAGCAGCGGAGGTGGAGGAAGCCCAGATATGCAGAATGGAAGAAGCAGGGAGATCCTAGCAGTGCAGGTCCTCGAATACAGCTTCCTCTCCAGCAAGGAGAACCGTGATCAGCACAGTAGTGACATCACCAAATCTTCAAATCCGGTGACACCAGCAGTCAGAGACAGCAGAGCCTTAGATCTCACACTGCAGATATACAGCTATAAGGATACAGAACAGGAGTGCCTGAGTACAGGAAGTGCACTGCTATTTTTTTTTTTTTTTTAAGAAGTTCAAGAGCAAACATATATTTTTCAAGGTACTTCTTCTTAGACACAATTAACGTTTCAAGATGTTCTCTATAGGATTGTAAATCTTCAGTTTAGGTTTGAGGTCACTTTAAGGGTCTACAGAAAGCTTGTCCTTTTGGTTTGGTTTCAAGGCCCCCCCCCCCCCCCCCCCCCCCCCCCCCCCCCCGCAACCTTTTCTTCACTCTCTTTTGCCGCCAGGAGAACAGAAAGCAATCGATACTCCTAGAAAATGGAGGAGCATGGGTGTAACGGAACCGGACCCAGACCGCACTTGGGTATTTTCCATTATACTCCAGCCTCCCTGTCCGAACACAAATCCACGGACACCACCGCTGATCATGCAGGAAATAGACAGCACCAGACTCTCAAGACCGGAAGTCAACTCCTTTATTTTTACACAAACATAAGATAGATACACAGGGTGGGGAAACACAACCAGGAACAGGAAACACATCAGCAGGCCATCCCATCAGTGGGAAGGGCTACAGGAAACACCCCCCCACCAAACCAAGACACAGAACAATGGGATGCAGCACATGGCAAAGAACAATGGACAACCACATGGCAGAGAACAAAGAATCCCCACACCAATATACAATACTATGACATTCACACCCTGTACCCCTTAACAGGCACAGGGTGGGTTAAACATAATGAAGGGAACATGAGCTGACACAGGGATCCCCCCACCCACAAAAGTCACTCCCGTCACAATGGGACATGGGGGCCTTCTGTGAGTTTAAACTTGAGATCCAAATGCAGCCGTCTCAGAGTTGTCTTTCCTCGCTCCTGGTGATTGAATGAACTGGTAGGAAAGCAAAGGAAGGCTGAGCAATATGCTCCAGGGGAAAGGCGGGGCACAAAAGAGGACTTGATGTTTTACCCTTCATGGTCAAAGCACAATAGATCCAGATTTCTATTTACCCCGGAGCTGCATTCAACACCTGAGTGGAGAGAGGTTAGTATCTGCGGTACGAATAATAGTGACAACCAAGTTTTTCCTGTTCTGTCCATTGATTGCTCAATTGTTGATTGGCGGCATCAGCATGTTGTAGTCACCCGGCGTTCCCAAGCGACATTTTATCGTTTTTTTTTTTCCCTCTTTCCAGATATGCCGACCGGGCGAAGCAGATCAAATGCAATGCAGTTATTAACGAGGACCCCAACGCCAGATTAATCCGGGAGCTGAAGGAGGAAGTGGCCAGACTGAGACAGCTGTTGTTCACCCAAGGACTGGCGGGTGAGTGGCACAAGGGACCATTTTCCAGAGGTCAGGTGGGGGCATACTGATTGGCAAGCTGGGCACTTTCTTGGCAGGTATCAAAATGATGATTTCATGTCTAAAATCAGGTTAAAGAGGAACTGGTCCAGTGTAGCGTTGAAAGCTAAAGAGGTGTAAGGGGCCCTTTATATAGTCCAAGTACAGTTGTGCTTAAAAGTTTGCCTCCCCTTGGAGAATTATTATTATACCATTTTTTTTTTTTTTTCCTCTATGCCTATGGAGCTCATACTCCCCCCAAATATCAGTGAGCCACCACCATGCTTCACAGTAGTGATGGAATTTTTGTCATTGATAAACCTTGTTGATCCCTCTCCAAACAGTACTTACGGTTGTGACCATAAAGCTCTATTTTGGTCTCATCACTCCAATTGCAGTGTGCCGGAAGCTTTGAGGTGTGTCAAGGTGTTGTCAGGCTTTTTTGTGGCATTTGCACAGTAAAGCTCCCAGGATCAGGGCCCTCCTATCTCTCTTGTATTGAACTGTATTGTTGCTGTATTTTCTCTCGTTATATTGTAAAGCGCTGAGCAAACTGTTGGCGCTCTATAAATCTTGTATAATAATAATAATAAAGGCAACTCTCTGGCAACTCAACCATGCAGCTCATTTTTGTTCAAGTATTGTCGTATTGCGCTCCTTGCAGACCATCTTTTTCCAGAGGAGCCTGTATATCTCCTGAGGTTACCTGTGTGTTTTCTTTATATCCCGAACAATTCTGGCAGTTGTGGCTGTAATCTTGCTTTGTCTACCTGTCTTAGCTTGGTCTCAAGAGATCCCTGAATTTTTACACTTCTTAATACGTGATTGAACAGTACTGATTGGCATATTCAAGGCTTTGGATATCTTTTTATATTCTTTTTTATCTTCTTTTTTATCTTTCTAAAGTTCCATTACCTTGTTATGCAGGTCATTTGACAGTTCTTTTCTGCTCCCCATAGCTCAGTATTTAGTCTGCTCAGTGTATCCAGGTGAGAGCTAATAAACTCCTTGACTATACACAGACACTAATTGCAATTGAAACAGCCACAGTTGTGGGAAATAACCTTTCTGCCATTGTACCCCGTGTGTGTTATGTTGTGTGTCTGTACCAAGGCCAAACATTCCAGGGGAGGGGAACTATTGATGAGGGCCACTTGGGGGATTCCTGTTATTAGGAGCCAAATAAGTTTTTTGGCGTGATCAGTCACATTTTCAATATCCATGCCAAAAATTCACCATTTCTACCAGGGGGGTGCAAACGTTTGAGCACAACTGTATGTGTTGTATGTTTTAGTTTTACAGTATATCTAAAAAAGAAAATTTTGTTCTTTCCATTTTGGAAACATTTTGGAAGGATTAAAACCCTGTTTACATTTTTTCATTGTCCTGTAGACACAACGGGAAGTGAGCTGAAAATCTCTCCAAAGTGAGAGGTTTGTCACCAGATGAGCTCATTCGAAAGATTTGTTGTAACAATTAAAAAATTTTGGATTCTGTCTTAGGCTCCTTTCACACAGGCATTTGGATCAGGTCCACCTGCCAGTTTTTCAGGGGGACCTGATCGGGAGGTCCATTCATCACTATGGACAGGAGAGTGTACCCATATGGAAGAAAAATATATTTTAAAATATTCTTCTCAAATATATTGCCATATATTTGAATTACTACAATTTTTGCTGTATTCAATATATATATATATACACAGTGGGGATCGAAAGTTTGGGCACCCCAGCTAAAAATTTGTATTAATGTGCATAAAGAAGCCAAGGAAAGATGGAAAAATCTCCAAAAGGCATCAAATTACAGATTAGACATTCTTATAATATGTCAACAAAAGTTAGATTTTATTTCCATCATTTACACTTTCAAAATAACAGAAAACAAAAAAATGGCGTCTGCAAAAGTTTGGGCCCCCTGCAGAGTTAATATCTTGTACTGCCCCCTTTGGCAAGTATCACAGCTTGTAAACGCTTTTTGTAGCCAGCCAAGAGTCTTTCAATTCTTGTTTGAGGTATCTTTGCCCATTCTTCCTTACAAAAGTCTTCCAGTTCTTTGAGATTTCTGGGCTGTCTGTCACGCACTGCTCTTTTAAGGTCTATCCATAGATTTTCAATTATGTTGAGGTCAGGACATTGTGAAGGCCATGGCAAAACCTTCAGTTTACGCCTCTTGATGTAATCCCCCGTGGATTTCGAGGTGTGTTTAGGATCATTATCCATTTGTAGAAGCCATCCTCTCTTTAACTTCAGCTTTTTCACAGATGGCATCAAGTTACCATCCAAAATTTGCTGAAATTTTATTGAATCCATTTTTCCTTCTACTCGTGAGATGTTCCCTGTGCCACTGGCTGCAACACAACCCCAAAGCATGATTGATCCAACCCCATGCTTAACAGTTGGACAGAGGTTCTTTTCATTAAATTCTGTGCCCCTTCTTCTCCAAACGTACCTTTGCTCATTCCGGCCAAAAAGTTCAATTTTAACCTCGTCGGTCCACAGAACTTGTTTCCAAAATGCATCAGGCTTGTCTATATGTTCATTTGCAAAGTTCAAACGATGATTTTTGTGGTGAGGACGTAGAAGAGGTTTTCTTCTGATGACTCTTCCATGAAGACCATATTTGTACAAGTATCTCTTTATAGTGGAATAGTGTACCACAACTCCAGTGTCTGCCAGATCTTTCTGGAGGGATCGTGCAGTCAAATGTGGGTTTTGAATTGTTTTTCTCACAATCCTGCGAGCTGTTCTGTCTGATATTTTTCTTGGTCTTCCAGATGTTGCTTTAACTTCCACTGTTCCCGATGACTGCCATTTCTTAATGACATTCCGAACAGAGGATATTGACATCTGAAAACGCTTTGCTATCTTCTTATAGCCTTCTCCAGCCTTGTGAGCGTCAACTATTTTCAGTTTCAGTTTTCTAGACAACTGCTTAGAAGAACCCATGGTGCTGATTGTTGGGGCAAGGTCAGATGAGTCCGGGCATTCAAAACCTTTGAGATTGACATCACCTGGTCTTCCCAGACGATGATTGAGAACAATCCATGACACTGGCAGGTCTCAGCTTGGCAAAGGGGGCAGTGCATGCTATAAATTCTGCAGGGTGCCCAAACTTTTGCAGACGCCATTTTTTTGTTTTCGGTTATTTTGAAAGTGTAAATGATGGAAATAAAATCTAACTTTTGGTGACATATTATAAGAATGTCTAATCTGTAATTTGATGCCTTTTTGGAGATTTTTCCATCTTTCCTTGGCTTCTTTGTGCACATTAATACAAATCTTTAGCTGGGGTGCCCAAACTTTCGATCCCCACTGTGTGTGTGTGTGTGTGTGTGTGTATGTATATTTATATGTATATGTGTGTGTATATATATATATATATATATATATATATATATATATATATATATATATATATATATATATATATATATATATTGCATGTTGAAATGTGTTTCTATTACAAAATATATGAAAATATTTTTAAAAAGACATTTCAAGTATACTGTATATCTTTAAAAATACAAATCTGCATTTTTGGAATTAATTTACAAATATATGTAAAAATATATGTTAAAATTACTTTTTTTTTTTTTTTATGTTACAAAAATCTTAAGAATATATTTAAAAAAATATAGTTTTAAAAATATTTGTACATGCAGTCCAAAAATGTAGATTTGTATTTTCAAAGACATACAGTATGTTTGAAATGTATTTTTAAAAATATTTTCCATGTATTTTTAAAAATATTTTTCATGTATTTTGTAATAAAAATGCATTTCAACATACTGTGTGTATATGTGTAATATATATATGTATGTGTATGTATGTATGTGTATATATGTATATATTTATTTATTTTTTTAATATATTGAATACGGCCAAAATTGTAGCATTTTAAATATGTGGCAATATAGGTGGGAAGAGTATTTTAAATATATATTTCAATGATATTTTTTTCCATGTGGGTAAATGGACTTGTCTTTTTTACACCTGCCTACCTCCGGGTCTGATCCGGTCCGCTGGGGGAAAAATAAGAAAAAGGGGGCCTCCTTCCTTCTGTTTAGGCAGAACGTATCAGAGGTAGTTAGGTGGGAACAGACAGCAAAGTCCTAGCGACAGGCAGCCATAAAATCCTGACAGGGGCTCTAACCCCTCACCAGGAGGTTGGCCCCTGTATGTGAACCCCAACAATGAACTTACTACCTTTTTGCTACTTGGTGATTGGTTGTGGATGAGTATTGAAGTTTGTGGATTTTCAATTCTGTATGTCTCCTCTCTGTACCAGACCTGACTGTAGACGAAGGTATCTCTGTTCCCGGCCCCTCCCTACAGTCCACAGCGCCGGTGTCTCCACCACCTAAGTTGGGATCCCCACCCCCTTTGTCCCCTCCTGCCGTCAATGGTCAGGCGGAGCCTTTCTCTGAGGTTGTCGAAGAAGCCGAGATCTGTACAGAGGAGGCCATAGAGAGGCTTCAAGAGACGGAGAAGATCATCGCGGAACTCAACGAGACGTGGGAGGAAAAATTACGCAAGACTGAGGCCATGCGCATGGAGAGGTCCAAACCAGAGAGTGAGGGAATTCATGTCGGTGGGAGGAGAAATGACCGGCACTAATTGTTACATCTCTGTCATCCTCAGGGAGGCGCTGTTGGCGGAAATGGGTGTGGCTGTAAGAGAAGATGGCGGGACAGTGGGCGTCTTTTCCCCAAAAAAGGTAATAACTGATAATACTGTACAGGGGCCAGTGTGTGAAGGCGGAAGCTACTCTTACAGATTTGTGGGGTGTTTTTGTGTTTTTTTTTTGCTGCAATCTTTTCTCAGAGATTCTTCAAAATATAAAAAATAAATTTGCATGAAGTTGTTTAGGTTGTAATTTCCAATAGGTTATCACACCCCAAACCTGGTAACAAATCTGTGTTTATTTTAATTTGTGCATTTGATATATACATAGAGACAAGGTGTGCTCTGCACCTGCATACATGTAGCTATGAAGGTATGATCATACATGATTCATATTGGTGTCTTGTGTGTGCAGATCCCTCACCTGGTCAACCTGAATGAAGACCCGCTTATGTCAGAGTGCCTGCTCTACCACTTAAAGGAGGGTGTCACGCGGTAATTTCACTGTCCTTTTTCTTCCCTTCTCTACCGCTCTATGGCCCTCCCTCATCAAGCTACAGTAGAATTAAAGTGTTACTAAACCCCGGACCCTGCATTCACTATATCTGCTCTCCCCGGACCCCGCATTCACTATATCCGCTCTCCCCGGACCCTGCATTCACTATATCCACTCTCCCCGGACCCCGCATTCACTATATCCGCTCTCCCCGGACCCCGCATTCACTATATCCCCTCTCCCCGGACCCCGCATTTACTATATCCCCTCTCCCCGGACCCCGCATTCACTATATCCGCTCTCCCCGGACCCCGCATTCACTATATCCCCTCTCCCCGGACCCCGCATTCACTATATCCCCTCTCCCCGGACCCCGCATTCACTATATCCGCTCTCCCCGGACCCCGCAATCACTATATCCCCTCTCCCCGGACCCCGCAATCACTATATCCCCTCTCCCCGGACCCCGCAATCACTATATCCCCTCTCCCCGGACCCCGCAATCACTATATCCCCTCTCCCCGGACCCCGCGTTCACTATATCCCCTCTCCCCGGACCCCGCGTTCACTATATCCCCTCTCCCCGGACCCCGCGTTCACTATATCCCCCCTCTCCCCGGACCCCGCGTTCACTATATCCCCTCTCCCCGGACCCCGCGTTCACTATATCCCCTCTCCCCGGACCCCGCGTTCACTATATCCCCTCTCCCCGGACCCCGCGTTCACTATATCCCCCTCTCCCCGGACCCCGCGTTCACTATATCCCCTCTCCCCGGACCCCGCGTTCACTATATCCCCTCTCCCCGGACCCCGCGTTCACTATATCCCCTCTCCCCGGACCCCGCGTTCACTATATCCCCTCTCCCCGGACCCCGCGTTCACTATATCCCCTCTCCCCGGACCCCGCGTTCACTATATCCGTTCTCACACAGAACATGGAAATGCAATTATTTTAGTAAATATGAACTTCTAAATACCGTTTCCCATCAGCAGTTATCTCAGTCTTGTGACTTCAGCAGAGCACTGGTTAAAGCTTGTGGGGGTGGGGGGTTTATTAACACTTTAATGTCGCCTCAAAGTGGACATATTTTTTTTTTCTTCCCCGTCCTCTCTTTTCTCTTCCCCGTCCTCTCTTTTCTCTTCCCCGTCCTCTCTTTTCTCTTCCCCGTCCTCTCTTTTCTCTTCCCCGTCCTCTCTTTTCTCTTCCCCGTCCTCTCTTTTCTTTTCTCTTCCCCGTCCTCTCTTTTCTTTTCTCTTCCCCGTCCTCTCTTTTCTTTTCTCTTCCCCGTCCTCTCTTTTCTTTTCTCTTCCCCGTCCTCTCTTTTCTTTTCTCTTCCCCGTCCTCTCTTTTTTTCTTTTCTCTTCCCCCCGTCCTCTCTTTTCTTTTCTCTTCCCCGCCCTCTCCTCTCTCTTCCCCGCCCTCTCCTCTCTCTTCCCCGTCCTCTCCTCTCTCTTCCCCGCCCTCTCCTCTCTCTTCCCCGCCCTCTCCTCTCTCTTCCCCGTCCTCTCCTCTCTCTTCCCCGCCCTCTCCTCTCTCTTCCCCGCCCTCCCTCTCTCTCTCTCTTCCCCGTCCTCTCCTCTCTCTTCCCCGTCCTCTCCTCTCTCTTCCCCGTCCTCTCCTCTCTCTTCCCCGCCCTCTCCTCTCTCTTCCCCGCCCTCTCCTCTCTCTTCCCCGCCCTCTCCTCTCTCTTCCCCGCCCTCTCCTCTCTCTTCCCCGCCCTCTCCTCTCTCTTCCCCGCCCTCTCCTCTCTCTTCCCCGCCCTCTCCTCTCTCTTCCCCGCCCTCTCCTCTCTCTTCCCCGCCCTCTTTTCTCTTCCCCGTCCTCTTTTCTCTTCCCCTCTCTCTTCCCCTTTTTTTGTCTCTTCCCCTCTCTCTTCCCCTCTCTCTTCCCCTCTCTCTTCCCCTCTCTCTTCCCCTCTCTCTTTCCCCTCTCTCTTCCCCTCTCTCTTCCCCTCTCTCTTCCCCTCTCTCTCTTCCCTCTCTCTCTTCCCCTCTCTCTTCCCCTCCCTTCTTTTTTTCTGTCTGTTTTTCTGTCTGCCCCAACGTTCCTCCTCCCCATCAATCATACTTTGCCTTCTCCCACAGGGTGGGTCGGGTAGATGTTGACATCAAGCTGAGTGGCCAGTTCATCAAGGAGCAGCACTGCCTATTTCACTGTACCACCAATGATAATGGAGAAGGTGCGTACAACGGACTGATGTGTCATTTACATATTCTCCTCCCGTGTTACCAGTCTCACCCCCCTATTCCATCTCTCCGCAGTCATTGTCACCCTGAAGTCTTGCGAGGGGGCCGACACTTACGTCAATGGAAAGCAGGTGACCCAATCCATGGTATTAAAATCAGGTGAGTGACTTAGAAGAGCTGCCGTAGGGTGACTCTGGCAAAGCTGGCCCGTGCCCTGGTGGGGGGTGACACCTAGTCTTTCTGTCTGGCCCGCAGGAAACAGGATAGTGATGGGGAAGAACCACGTCTTTCGTTTTAACCACCCGGAGCAGGCGCGCCTGGAGAGGGAGAGAAGTAACGCAGCGATAGAAAATCAGAACGAACCCGTCGATTGGAACTTTGCCCAGCGAGAACTTCTAGAACAACAAGGGATCGACATCAAACTGGAGATGGAGAAACGGTGAGATTTTTTTTTTTTTCATATCGAAACCACATTGGTAGACATCCGCCAAAAGTAGAGGTTGGCTTCTGTGACCTGAAATGCTGCCCGGCTTGGGACTGTCTTTACTTCTGTCAAGATTAGAGAGACTCAGAACTGGATGAAGCGTTGTCAATGATGGTTATTTGTCACAACCAGGGGCGGACTGACCATTTGGAAACTTGGGCTCGAGGTCAGTAGGGGGCCCCATGAGATGCCCCTGGTACCTTTTTCATAGGCTTTTTTGAGTTTGGGCAAGGACACAGGGGCCCCATGATCCCCTGTTGCCCGGGGGCCCCATGAGTTGTCAGTCCTCCCCTGGTCACAACTGATTATATCTTACCTCACAAAGTCAGGTAGAGTCCACCTCATTTCCTGGCTGAAGGACGCCCAGTATCATCATCTGGGGTTTTTCCTCCCCAGCTTTACTGTCCCCGGCCCGTACTCTTTATTCACTAGATTTCAGACGGAGCTGCCTCCAGTGGGAGGGGGTTCATGTTTTCCCAAAGTTGATCTTTAACCAGTTCAGGTCCGGACACTTTCACCCCCTTCCTGTCCAGGTAAATTTTCAGCTTTCAGCGCTATCACACTTTGAATAACAATTGCGCGGTCATGCAACACTGTATCCATATGAATTTTTTACCTTTTTTTTTTTTCTTTTTCTTTTTTTTTTTTAGACATAAAACTTTTGGTGGTATTTATTCACCACTGGGATTTTTATTTCTTTTTTTGCTATATAAATGAAAAAGTCCAAAAATTTTGAAAAAAGTTTTCCTTATACAATTTTGCAAATAAATAATCTTTCTTTATAAATCTTGGCCAAAATGTAGTCAATTATCTTTTTAGTAAAAAAAATAACCCAAATTAGTTCATAACCAAAAATTATAATTTTTCTATGATGATTTTTTTTTTTATATTATTTGTTTTACATACTGTCACCCTAGCAGTACAATGTAACCATAGTGACACTATATACTACTTGTGGGGGGTGATGAAGATTTTTTTTTTTTTTTTTTTTACATTGATTGCTTTTACACCCATAAAGGCTGTAAAAGTAATCATTTCTTCTTCTCTCTGGTTCATTCTTGCAGTCATTGAGAAACACTGTGAGAGCTGTGATTGGTCACAGCTTGTCACATGGTACAAGGCTGTTGTGAATAGCCCTGTACCATGTGACCTCTGTGATCATTTACAGATTTCACACGTAGGAAGCAATGATGTCAGAAGTGACATCTTGCTTACTACTCTTCATGTGATCCCTGATTGGCCAATCGGTGATCACATGATCGGGACCTCACACAGCGTTCCTGTACAACAATCGGTGTTCCGCTGTGTCCTCCGGACACAGTGGGCACTGGATCGCTGTGCTGCGCGCTCACAGGGAGCGTGCACAAGCAGGGGGCAGGGAGGATGTTTATAAATGGCCACCCGACCCTGCACTGCTCCCGTCTGGCCATTTATATACATGTGCCAGACGGGAAGTGTTTAAAGAGACCTCCCATGGTTAAAACAAAGCGAGGATAATGTTTCCTGTACAGAAAGTGATGGAATTACAAGAAGCAGCATGGTGAAATGTGAAGACTATTGTGGACGGGGAGTGCAGTAGGTAGGCAGGGGGCTGTCGTGAAAGGAGCATTGCTCCTGGTCTGCAATGGTCATGAGAGCTCGCTATTGATGGATCCTCTTCTGTTTCTGCAGGTTGCAGGATCTGGAGGTCCAGTATAAGAAGGAGAAAGAGGAGGCTGATCTTACCCTGGAGCAGCAGAGACTGGTGAGACGGGACCCACTGCCATTAACATGGACCATTTTACCGAACTGTGCTTTGGTGGAGACCTGTGCAGAGCAATATTACCTGTGTGCAAGGCCTTAGATTGCTGCTGAGGTTCTACTAACCCATGAGCTGCAGAATAGTTCTGGAAGAATAACTTCACTTGAGCCAGATTTTTCTTTTTTACTCTCCTTGTACCAGTATTCAAGTCAGAGCATGGTAGCTTCCATCAGAGGCTTCACACACTGAGGTTTTTGCTTTGCTTTGTGACTAATTCCCTTCATGATATTTTATTTCAAGGATAAATGCACTTTTAAATATGGTGCAATTTTTTTTTGCCAACTTTAACTGACAGAACCTAATCCACCCTCCCCCTCCACAGATGATTACTTACCTCCATGGCTGTGGTTCCACTTTTTGTTTACATTCAGCACGACAACTCATCACTGTCCTGGCTGCGCCTGTGCATTAGTGCCCAATAGACTTTCTATGAGGCTGGAGACATCGAAATCCGTTCCATTGAAATCTACGGGGCTGTAATGAGCCGGCGCGGCCTGGACCCGGGAAGACTTGCGGAACTGAATGTAAACGAATAGCTAAACAGCAGCTGTCGGGTGGAGGGAAGTATGTATGTGTGGAGGAGGAAAGGGGGGCAAGTTTATCTAAAACTTTGAAAACAATCCATACTTTTGTGAAATCATTTCGTTGTCTACGGCCACGGCATGAAGATTTATCTTCCATATCTTTGGAGGACACAGGCAAATCTTTATGACTGATGGTGTCCCTGAACCCGGGGGATCTTCTAACACAGTCGGTCTTCACATCTCCGTGTGCCGCAACCATCAACTGTTTTTCTGGTCTGCAGTGGGGGAGCTTCATTACCAGTTTGTGGTCCTTCAATCTGTTTCTGGTGCCGCTAGTGTGCACCAAGGTGCTGGCTCCGGTGCTGAATCTCCTGCGATTTCTGCAGGATCTCTATTGTGGCTTTTAAAAAAAAAATTAAACAAACAAAAAGAGGGTTCACCAGCCTAGTGCATCATCCCATGCATCATTTATTAACTTCCTCCCTACCGCGCTATAAACGACAGACAGCTACAGCGCGGTTGTCTAGTTCTGGGACTATGTCCATGGATGTCATTCCAGAACACGCCCGCTGCGCAACCCCAGCGGCAATCACCCAGAGGCGTCAGTGATTGTTGTGTCCTACAGACACAGCTGATCTCGTGATATGCTAAACGGCCAATCACAGCGGCCTTTTACCAAGTGATCACCTGTGTCCAATGACACAGCAGACCACCGGGTAACCTGCACTTTCTGTCACAGCGTAAGGAAAGTACTGCCGATAACTGGCAATTGTCAGAGAAGTGATCGGCACTGATCTTCGGCACCGAAGATCAGTGCCCTGATGATCAGTGCCCAGCAGTTCCGCCCACCTGTACCACCCGTGTGCCCATCAGTGCTGCATATCAGTGCAGCATACTTAGTGCCGGCTCAACAGTGCCGCCTATCAGTGCTGCCTATCTGTGCCCACCTCATCAGTGCAGCCTCATCAACGCACATCAGTGAAAGAGAAAAATTACCTGTTTGCAAAATCTTATAATAGAAACAAAGAAAAACTTTTTTTCCCTCACAGCATATCATAGCAAGCATGAACTTCTGGGGTGCTCAGTCCACTCAACACACTCCAGACCTTGGGAGGGCACCACCAGGATCCTATCTGGCTTACTGGTTTCAAGGGGCATACCCTCCTTCTCAGAGCCAAGGGCCCTGAAGAAGTGGGCACTTCACTTGAAACGCGTAACCTTGGTGAAAACTTGCAGCGCTGATCCCAGACCCAAACTGGTAATGGAGGTCCCACACTGCTAACCTGAGAGCATTGATCGTTGTGGCAAATGGGAAAGTGGAGATATCCATCCTTGATGTCAGTTGAGGCCAGCCGTTCCTGCTGGTTTATGGATATCATCAATCATAAAGATCTGGCAGTCGGAGAAAAGGATAAAAAAAAATAAATCCCATTTTCACCTCATTTGAGACAGCTGAACAAGATCAGGGGAGTGTTTTTCTACAGGGACGGGAAGACGCAGACAGTGAAAATAGCCTGGCACAGCTTCTATACTTCACCCGAAAGAGTTCTCTTGCAGCCAATGTCCCCACAGGAGAGACATCCCATCACTTCCTGTCCTCACAGGAAGTGAGACAAAATCTCTCTAATGGAGTCACTAACTGTAGTAAAAACTTGGCAGGGATTCCATCACTTACCTATTCTTCCCACAATAAAATAGAAGGTGGTTTTATCAGAAGATTTTAATGCAACGCTTGATTTTAGTCAGTAATTCGCCTTTTCTATTATTATTATTATACAGGATTTATGGTGCCAACAGTTTGCTCAGCACTTTACAATATAATGGGAGACAATACAGCAACAATACAGTTCAATACAGAAGAAATAGGAGGGCCTGGCTCATGGAGCTTACAATTCCTAGATTGTAAGCTCCCAGGATCAGGCCCTCCTAACCCTCTTTTATTGAACTGTATTGTTGCTGTATTGTCTCCTGTTATATTGTAAAGCGCTGAGCAAACTGTTGGCACCATAAATCCTGTATAATAATAATATATAAATCCTGTATTATAATATTAATAATCTAAAGGAAGGGGGAGGGGATACAAAAGGTGATAGCTGCGGGGGATGATCTGACGGAGGTGACTCAAGTGCAGGTCTTAGGTGGAGGAGAGGTAGGTATCCCTGAATAAGTACGTTTTCAAATATCGCCTAAAGGCAGGCAGGGTAGGGGATGGCCAAACATAATGTGGTAGGGAGTTCCAGAGGATGGAGAGGCTCTGGAGAAGTCCTGAAGGCAAGCGTGGGAGGAGGTGATGAGAGAGCTAGAGAGGAAGATATCTTGGGAGGAGTGGAGACAATTTGGACGATATCTGCGGATGAGGTTGGTGATGTAGCTAGGGCAGGGGTGGGCAAACTTTTTGACTTGAGGGCCGCAATGGGTTCATATATTGGACCCGGGGGCCGGACCAAGAGTAGATGAATGATGTGTATGTGTCATCCATAGTAAGTATAGTAATATTCCCCCATAGTAAGCATAGTAATTCATCCCCCATAGTAATTCATCCCCCATATAGTAATTCGTCCCCCATATAGTAATTCGTCCCCCATATAGTAATTCGTCCCCCATAGTAATTCATCCCCCCTATAGTAATTCATCCCCCATAGTAATTCATCCCCCATATAGTAATTCATCCCCCATAGTAATTCATCCCCCATATAGTAATTCATCCCCCACATAGTAATTCATCCCCCATATAGTAATTCATCCCCCATAGTAATTAATCCCCCATATAGTAATTCATCCCCCATATAGTAATTCATCCCCCATATAGTAATTAATCCCCCATATAGTAATTCATCCTCCACATAGTAATTCATCCCCCACATAGTAATTCATCCCCCATATTAATTCATCCCCCATATTAATTCATCCCCCATATTAATTCATCCCCCATATTAATTCATCCCCCATATTAATTCATCCCCCATATTAATTCATCCCCCATATTAATTCATCCCCCATATAGTAATTCATCCCCCATATAGTAAGTCCCCCATATAGTAATTCATTCCCCATATAGTAAGTCCTCCATATAGTAATTCATTCCCCATATAGTAAGTCCTCCATATAGTAATTCATTCCCCATATAGTAAGTCCCCCATATAGTAATTCATTCCCCATATAGTAAAGTCCTCCATATAGTAATTAATTCCCCATATAGTAAGTCCCCCATATAGTAATTCATCCCCCATATAGTAAGTCCCCCCCCTGTGTCAATTCACTTACCTTTGGTCCGCGCGTTCCTCTCGTATTCCCGCGCCGTTCTGGTCTTCAGGGAGGACTGTGAGAGGAGTTCGTCACGCTGCCCCCCGCCTACATCCTGGCTGCCCCGCCTACATCCTGACAGCTGCAGAGTCCTGACGTCCGAGAGGAGGGAGGGGGGCGGCCATCCGAGAGGGGGGGCGGCCATCCGAGAGGAGAGGAGGGGAGGGGAGAGGAGGAGAGGAGGGGAGGGGAGAGGAGGAGGAGAGGAGGGAGGGGAGCGGGCGCCCGGCACACAGGAGAGCCGCATCTAAATTTGTAAAGAGCCGCGGCTTGCCGACCACTGGCCTTGCGGGAGCCTAGCTCCGCGGGCCGGATTAAAAGGTCCGCCGGGCCGTATACGGCCCGCGGGCCGTAGTTTGCCCATTGCTGAGCTAGGGGCAGTGTTGTGGATGGCTTTGTAAGCTGTGGTTAGTATTTTGAATTTCATACGTTGGGTTAGTGGAAGCCAGTGAAGGGATTGGCAGAGAGGGGCAGCAGTCGCTGATCGGTTGGTAAGGTGTATGAGTCTAGCAGAAGCATTCATAATAGACTGAAGGGGGGATAGACTGTGTAACGGTAGGCCAGTGAGGAGGAACTCGCAGTAATCAAGGCGGGATATAACCAAGGCATGGATTAGTTGGTTTGTGGTGCCATTAGTCAGGAAGGTGAGAAGTCTGGAAATGTTCTGGAGGTCGAGGCGTCAGGATTTAGCCAGTGATTGGATGTGGGGCTGAAGGAGAGGTCAGAGTCTAGGATTACACTGAGCACCCTGGCATGAGGGGAAGGACCAATGGTTGTGCTGCTGATCTCAATGGTAAAGCCATGAGTGGGGGGTCGGGGGGAGGAAATATTACAAGCTCGGTGTTGAAAAATTTGAGTTTGGAGGTAGTGGTGTGACATCCATGCTGATATGTCGCTTAGAAGATTTGTGATACGTGAGGAGATTGAGGGGGTGAGCTGGGGAGCGGAGAGATAGATCTGGGTGTCATCAGCATAAAGGTGGTATTGGAAGCCAGTTCTATGGAGAATTTCCTTCCTGATTCTGTGGAGGTCTCCATCTCAGGACAATTACAATTCGTCAGTTTGCAATGGTTCAGGAAAAGATTTGTTCGTTTTTTAGTCCATGTCATGATATCGTTGCACGCCAGTAGCTCATGTTTTTTTTTTTTCTTTTGAGCAGTACGGGGATTCGGACAGCGGCGACGACTCTGACAAGCGTTCCTGCGAGGAGAGCTGGCGCCTCATCTCCTCCCTCCGGGAGAAAGTCCCTCCAGGCAAAGTGCAGAGCATCGTACGGCGCTGCGGGCTCCCAAGCAGCGGCAAGAAACGGGAGCCCATCAGGGTGTACCAGATCCCCCAACGCCGGCGTCTGGGCAAAGACCCGCGATTCCTGACCTTGGCGGACCTGAAGATGCAGGCGGTGAAGGAGATCTGCTATGAGGTGGCGCTGAACGACTTCAAGCACAGCAAACAGGAGATCGAAGCCATGGCTGTCATCAAGATGAAGGAGCTGTGCAGGACGTACGGCCAAAGGGATGTCGTGGAGAAGGATGGCTGGAAGGCCGTGGCTCGGGACGTCTGGGATACTGTCGGGGTGGGAGAGGAGGATTCTGGGAGCAAAGGCGGGGTCCAGGATCTGAAGGCGCACATCGACAAACTGACCGACATCTTGCAGGAGGTGAAAATGCAAAACAACATGAAGGACGAAGAGATCCGGGCTCTACGAGACCGCATGGTGAAGATGGAGAGGGTCATACCAGTGGCACAGGTGAGAGAGAAGTTCCGTGTATGTTGCTATTGTTTTATTTCCTCTTTGTACTTCTGTTTCACTTTTTCAAGGTACAACAAATATATATAATATCTAAAATATTGAAATGTTATCGATTTTTAATATTTATTTTATTTACTTTATTTTTGTGTCTTTTTAATTTAATCTGTATCATTTTTTATTCTTATTGTATTTTAACTTTTTATTTATACCGCTATTTTTCATTTATTTTATTATTCTAAGATATTGAAATGTTATCCATGACAATATTTATCTTTCATTATCTTTTATTTTTGTTAATTTTATCATTTTTTTTGTACTACTTTTATTATTATTATTTATACTGTTATTCATTTTTATTACAATTCTAAGATATTGAAATATTATCCATTGCAGCATTTATTTTCTATTTTTTAATATTACTGTTATTTTATGTCTTTTTTTTTTTTATTCTTATTGCATTTATTTTCTATTTTTTAATATTACTGTTATTTTTGTCTTTTTTTTTTTTTATTCTTATTACATTACTTTTATTATTTTATTTTTATTTATACTGATTTTTCTTTTATTTTATTTTTATTTTTATTTATGCTGCTATTTTTAATTTATTTTATTCCTTGTATATTTTTTTTATACTGTTATTTTTAATGTATTTTATTATAACTATTGTTGTTCATAGTATTATTGTTGGTGGTGTTTTACTATATTTTCTAAACATCTAAATTTATAAATGGTACATAATAAAAGATAATCTCTAGGCATAAACTACACAGATGAAATACATACAAGGGGCCAAAGGATTTGTATTTACGCCTATCCAGTCCTGCTTCCACACAGCAGAGCCTGCCTGCAATCAAGTAATACAGCCAAGTCTCTTCCTAGCACCCAGCCTGTGATTGGAATGTAAAGGAGCACCAATAGCTACTCATCTCCCTGCTCTCTTCTCCTGTCAGCATCTGTGGTACACCTGATTGGCTCTTGGTGCTCCCATCCTCTCCCAGTCTAAGTATTGCTGCACAGTGAATTACATAAGACCTATAGAAATTCAGAGTCAAATGTATTTGATTTTGTTTTAATTTTAACAAAAATATGTCCAGAAATCAGCCTAAAAGATGTTGATTCCTTGCCCATTAGGGTAAAGCTGCCAAACTGCCCCCCAGCCCACTGAATCCCACCTCTTCATGGTTCTCCTGCTGCTGCTCCATCTTCTTTCAAAATTAACACAACATTCCCAGTTCCTTTGGGGAAAATGGCGCCTCCTCCCATGATCATGATGGCCAATTGGTAGGTTTGGGCACTGTCACATGATACGGGGGAGGTGTCACTGCTTTCTTCGGCCTCTTAACACTGGGTCTTCCTATGGGAGAAGTAAGTATGAGATGATCTGAGTAGCCACCCGGCTAATTTGTAAAAAAAAATAAAAAAATCCTAAGAAGAACACTGCTATATGACCAAAAGTATGAGGGTCCCCCCTTCGAATAATGGGGTTTCGGTGTTTCCAGTGAAGGAAACTGTTAATAGTACATCATACAAAGACCTTTAAAACCTTGTGGTAACAGTTTTGGGCTGTGCACACAGCCAGCTCCATACAACCATGGCTTAACCAGTCTGGTGTGGAGGAACTAAGTGTCCTGCACCAGAACCTTGGCCTCAACCTTATGGAATACCTATGGGATGAATTGAAACCCTGACGGTGAGCTAGGACTTCCCATCCAACATCCGTAACTTATCCCCAAAATAGGCACAAACACCCAATTACTCCAAAATGTTGTGGAAACCCTTTCTAGAAGAGTGGAGGATGTTTTAGGAGATAAGTACTATGGTTAATGGAGCTGATGGACATGTTTTTGGAATTGGATGTCCACCAGACTCGTACAGGTGTGAAGGTGAGTGGTCCACATGTAGCGTACCATTTGAACGTGCTAGGACTGGATACTTTGAATTGTATGACTTCGCCACAACTTTGCGTACGAGTTGTTCTCTGTACACGGTGTATGTATGACCTCCTCTTCTACTGTTCTGTCCTCCAGGATGATCCAGGAGATGACTACTTGGAAGACCAGCCTTTCTGGTGCTCCAGCGAGTCTACCGAGAGTCTTCAGAATTCCCCCAGCAACTCTCCCAAGGCTGTCCATGTTACACGCCTTATGGAAGATGACTCGACCTTCAGGCGGGGAAGGATGAGATGGCTTAAGCAGGAGCAAGGCCGCATCCAAAACCTGCAGCAGCAGCAGATCACACGATCCCTCCGCCGCCCGCCCGGCACAGGAAAATTTATCCCGCCACTGGACTGCAAACTTCGCTTTCCCTTTAAGAGCAACCCCCAGCACCGCTTCTCCTGGGCACCGGGCACGACCTACGTGGTGGAAGAGCTAAACAGTCCCTGGTCAGAGGAGAAACGAGCTGGGGAAGGCGACGGAGAGAGAGTCGTAGCGAGCGCCCGCAGAGGCGCCAAGAAGATGGCGACCTTCAGAGACCAAGACGAAACTCCTTGGACGGAGGGTCAAACAGAGGAAGGAGGCCCAACTATCGTAACAATCGCCAGAGCGGCGACGACGGTCAGCCATTCACGAGAAGACCGCAGAGCAGAGAGGGCGATGGAGGTGGTCAGCAAAAACGCCACCCCCCCCATCACCGCCGGAGCGTCCTTACAAGTACCACCCTTACACTGCCCCACCCAGGATGCGACGGCAAAACTCCGCCCCCAACTTGTGTGACATGGAAAGCCCCGTCTGAGTAAATGGTTATGAGGATGTCGCAGTAAGCCGGCTCATGGAGGTGAGCGGAGGACGCGGTAGAAAAGAACAAGTCATGTCGAGAACGGACAAGAAGGTCGTAAAGAGACGAACGAAAGTTATTTTTGAATTTAGAATCTTGCGCACAGTGAATTCGGAAGGTCAGAATGTGAAGGCTCGTGGTTTTATTCTGAACTTTTTGAAGTGTTTTTTTTTCTGGTTTTAAGTTTTAATTTTTTAAAATTTTTTTTTTTTTTTATGTGGAATTCTTTTATTATTTTTTTTTTTTTTTTCGTGAATGAGAGGGCGGTTGTCTTTGATCAGCCTGCAGCAGCTGCTAATTAAGGAACACATCACTACGAGGGGGTTGTTGGCATTATAAGATAGCCATGGTCTATGGGGGAGGGTACCATGCCGGGCAGTGAAAAGACCCCACTGGTCCCCGAAGCCATACTTGGTACCCCCCACCAGGCCAGGGTCTTCCCTCCCTGTCGGAATATACTGTAACAAGAGACTGTTAGAACTCATTCTGCACTGAGTGAAGGGTTAATGATTCTCTGTGTGTATATCCATCTATCATTGTGTGTGTGTATATATGTGTATTTATAAATTCAAAGGGCTTCAGGCAAGTGGTGACGCTGTGGTTTGCATTGCCCATGGGATGCTTGGCTGTGTTTTCAGGCAGTGGTCGTCCCCCCCCCCCCCCCCCCCCCCCCCCCCCCCCCCCCCGGCTGAAATTAAGGTATCTGTAACACAATTGGGCTCCCTTGGTTTTTTTTTTTTTGTTTTTTTTAAGTCAATTTCGAAGGATATGTATCTTTTGTTCCACTTTACTTAGTGTGGGCCAAGCTGGCCCAAATTAACTATCCTTCACTAAGATCTGAGACCGCTGTATGTGGCGGAGGGTGTGTACAGCGTTGCGTTCCGGTCCGTGCCAAGTACAGCGTTGCGTTCCGGTCCGTGCCAAGTACAGCGTTGCGTTCCGGTCCGTGCCAAGTACAGCGTTGCGTTCCGGTCCGTGCCAAGTACAACGTTGCGTTCCGGTCCGTGCCAAGTACAGCGTTGCGTTCCGGTCCGTGCCAAGTACAGCGTTGCGTTCCGGTCCGTGCCAAGTACAGCGTTGCGTTCCGGTCCGTGCCAAGTACAGCGTTGCGTTCCGGTCCGTGCCAAGTACAGCGTTGCGTGCCGGTCCGTGTTGGGCACAGCGTTGCGTGCCGGTCCGTGTTGGGCACAGCGTTGCGTGCCGGTCCGTGTTGGGCACAGCGTTGCGTGCCGGTCCGTGTTGGGCACAGCGTTGCGTGCCGGTCCGTGTTGGGCACAGCGTTGCGTGCCGGTCCGTGTTGGGCACAGCATTGCGTGCCGGTCCGTGTTGGGCACAGCATTGCGTGCCGGTCCGTGTTGGGCACAGCATTGCGTGCCGGTCCGTGTTGGGCACAGCAGTGCGTGCCGGTCCGTGCCGGGTACAGCAGTGCGTGCCGGTCCGTGCCGGGTACAGCAGTGCGTGCCGGTCCGTGCCGGGTACAGCAGTGCGTGCCGGTCCGTGCCGGGTACAGCAGTGCGTGCCGGTCCGTGCCGGGTACAGCAGTGCGTGCCGGTCCGTGCCGAGACCTTCCTGTCTCAGACCTGAAAACACAATAGAGTCTGCCAGAACGGCGCTTAGCCATTTAGAGAAAAGCGACGCATTCTATCAATGAATACAAAGCTTCCTCTGATTGGCTGAGTCAGAGAGGCAGGCTGATGATGTCACAACCCCAGAGGAAGCTCAGCTTGGACCAAAACACAGTGCTGTAAGTGGCCTCTGCTACACACAGTTTTTATACAGCACATGCACTGGCCTCAGATGTTAATGAGGGTCATAGTTCATTTGGGCCAGCTTGGCACGTGGAACAAAAGATGGAGTTCAGCTTTTGCTGTCAGGGCTGTTTTCTACATATGTTCCAATTTTAGGCCTGAAGATTGGTTAAAACCCCCCAAACATGAGAGTGGTGGCACTTGCAATTTTGTTATGTCGTACAATATTAGTGCAGCTGTTCTATTTTCAGTAAAAATATACTCCGGTTAATTTTACCGCACACAATTTTTGGTATAATAAAAAAGATGAAGTTGTAAGTCGAGTAAATGGATACCAAACGTCACGCCCTAAAATTGCCTGTGCCCGTGAAGTGGCAGCAAACGTCTGTACCCAAAATTGTCTATAGGAGATACTTTAGGAGCCACAGTAGCCGGGGAATGACCGCTCTGAACCTGGAGTGACTAAATGATTGTTTCTTCCACAAAGGAAGATCAGAAAACAGATCTCCTTCTGCTCTACCTGCTGATGCCTTCCATGGCTATCCTGGGCTGCAAGTGAGATGG